CACTACTCCTCAAACTGTTCCACAAGATAGAAACAGAAGGTTTATTGCCAATCTCTTTTTATGAGGCCACAATAACTTTGGTACCCAAACCTCACAAAGACACAACTAAGAAAGAAAACTACAGACCAATATCCCTGATGAACATCGATGCAAAAATACTCAATAAAATAATGGCAAACCGAATTCAAAAATACATCAGAGAAATCATCCACCATGATCAAGTAGGCTTCATACCTGGATTGCAGGGATGGTTTAACATACGAAAATCTATCAACGTGATCCACCATATAAACAAACTGAAAAAGAAAAACCATATGATTATCTCCCTAGATGCAGAAAAAGCCTTCGATAAAATTCAACACCCTTTCATGATAAAGGTATTAGAGAGGTCAGGGATAACAGGAACATACCTAAACATAATAAGAGCAATATACAGCAAACCAACTGCCAACATCAAACTGAATGGAGAGAAACTTAAGCCAATTCCTCTAAAATCAGGAACAAGACAAGGCTGTCCTCTCTCTCCATATCTCTTCAATATCGTACTAGAAGTTCTAGCTAATGCTATAAGACAACAAAAGGAGATCAAGGGCATCCAAATTGGAAAGGAAGAAGTCAAACTGTCTCTATTTGCAGATGATATGATAGTTTACATAAGCGACCCAATAAACTCTACCAGGGAACTCCTACAGCTGATAAACACCTTCAGCAAACTAGCAGGATACAAGATAAACTCAAAAAAATCAGTAGCCCTATTTTTTTCAGACGACAAAGAGGCAGAGAAAGAAATCAGAGAAACATCACCCTTTACAATAGCCACAAGCAACATAAAGTATCTTGGTGTAACGCTTACCAAACAAGTAAAAGATCTATATAATAAGAACTTTGTGACTCTAAAGAAAGAAATTAAAGAAGATACCAGAAAATGGAAAGACCTCCCATGCTCTTGGATAGGTAGGATAAACATAGTAAAAATGGCAATCTTACCAAAAGCAATCTACAGATTCAATGCAATCCCCATTAAAATCCCACCACAATTCTTCACCGACCTTGAAAGGATAATAATTAACTTTATATGGAAAAACAAAAGACCCAGGATAGCCAAAACAACCCTATACAATAAAAGAACATCAGGAGGCATCACCATTCCTGACTTTAAGCTCTACTACAGAGCTATAGTTCTGAAAACAGCCTGGTATTGGCATAAAAATAGACAGGTAGACCAATGGAATCGAATTGAAAATCCTGATATTAATCCATGCACCTATGAACACCTGATTTTCGACAAAACAGCTAAAATGATACAATGGGGCAAAGACAGCATCTTCAACAAATGGTGCTGGCACAATTGGATGAGGGTGTGTAGAAGACTGCAGATAGACCCATGTCTGTCGCCATGCACAAAACTCAAGTCCAAATGGATCAAAGACCTCAACATCAATCCAGCCACATTGAACCTCTTAGAAGAGAAAGTAGGAGGTACCCTTGAACAAATTGGTATAGGAGACCGCTTCTTGAACATAACTCCAGGGGCACAGACACTGAAAGAAACAATTAATAAATGGGACCTCTTCAAACTTAGAAGCTTCTGTAAGGCAAAGGACACAGTTGACAAGACCAAACGGCAGCCCACTGACTGGGAAAAGATTTTCACTAATCCTATATCCGACAAAGGGCTGATCTCCAAAATATACAAAGAACTCAAGAAACTAGTCAACAAAACACCAAATAACCCTATTAAAAAATGGGGTACAGAACTGAAGAAAGAATTCTCAATGGAGGAAATCAAAAAGGCTGAAAGACACTTAAGAAAATGCTCCACATCCTTAGCTATCAGGGAAATGCAAATCAAAACAACTTTGAGATACCATCTTACCCCTGCCAGAATGGCTAAAATTAGAAACACCAGTGATGACTTATGTTGGAGAGGATGTGGAGAAAGTGGAACACTCCTCCACTGCTGGTGGGAGTGCAAACTCATACAGCCACTTTGGAGATCAGTATGGCGGTTCCTCAGGAAAATGGGAATTAGTTTACCACAGGACCCGGCAATCCCCCTCTTAGGCATATACCCAAAGGATTCACATCAATGCAACAAAGACATCTGTTCAACTATGTTCATAGCAGCACTATTTGTAATAGCAAGAACCTGGAAGCAACCTAGATGCCCTTCAATTGAAGAATGGTTAATGAAGATGTGGCACATCTACACAATGGAATACTACTCTGCAGAAAAAAATAATGGTATCTTGAAATTCGCAGGCAAGTGGATGGCACTTGAAGAAACCATCCTGAATGAGGTAACCCAGTCACAAAAAGAGGAACACAGTATGTACTCACTCATATATGGATTTTAGACCTAGATCAAATGATCACCAGCCTATAATTCACATCACCAGAGGAACTAGGATACAAGTTGTATTCTAAGAGATTCATATAAAGTCCCTCACAGAACTGGGAAGGGACAAGTCCCCCAGACCTCAGGTATAGTGGGGGAGGACAGCTAATGGAGAGAGAAGTAGGAGAAAATGAGAGGGAGGAGAGGAAGGCATGTGTGACTAGGAGGATTGAGCCTGGTTAGGAATGGAAAATAGGAAAGAGAGAGAGAGACAGAGACAGAGAGAGAGAACATAAAAGAGGGAGCCAATATTGGTTTGAAGATAAAGTTGAACACAAAGAAAGGTCGAGGGAACTACAAGACTGCTCCCAACTAACAATCTCAGCTTCCGTGGAAAGGCTATCATAAATGCCCTTCCCGGAGAGTGAGATCAACAACTAACTTCTCCATGGAGTCCTCAACTAATGCCTGTTGAAAACAGGAGCAAACACCCATACATAAACACTGAGTCAAACTAGAACCCAGAAGCAGATGGAGAGGACAAGACCATGCGGTAGAAGTACATAGAGACAGCTTACCTGAACAAGGAGGAGCTAAGGGCCACTAGACTGATAGCTGGGAAGCCAACAGAGGTCTGACTCGGACTCCCCTGAATATGGGTCTCAGCCAGAAGGTCTGAGCAGTCTAAGAGACCTCAGACAGTGGAGCCAGGATGTATCCCTGGTGCACAAAAGGACTTTGCAAACATATCCCCCATGGAGGGATAACTGCCTTATTCTAGAGATAGGAGAGAAGCCCTAGTCCCTACTTCACAGGACCTGTCAGATCTACATGACCCCAACTGGATGGCATTCCCCTACATATTGTATTGTGGTGGGGGGTTGGGAGGGGGGGGGTGTTTAGAGTGCATGGGAGAGGGTAGAGAGGGCAAAAGGGAGGGAAGGAGGGAGGGAGGGCTTGGGGGGAGGGAGGGAGGGAGGGAGAGGGAACTGGGATCGACATGTAAAATAATAATAATAAAAAAAAAAAAACGCTTTGACTCCAAAATTTAAGTTGAAGAACAAGTTACTGGGGAAAAGTATTTCTATTTTTGTTTCCACAGAAAATGAAAAGATGTGGATTCCTTCCAGACTAATGTGGTTTGATCACACCAGACCGCCTGAAACAGAGTACAAGCTGATCCTACATTCCAAACAGCTGGACAAAACAGCCCTACAGACTACAGCTAGGATATCTGAATCTTCTTCGAATCCCCCAAGACAGCGCCCCTTACCAGCAGGAAGTAGTTTGGAAAGAACGACGCCCAAATTCCCAAATATTGTGTATAAATGTTTGTTTTCATTTAATTGGACTTTGTTATATAAAATTAAATAAAAAATACTCTATATGCAAAAAAAAAAAAATGTTTTACTTTGGTTTGAGTATTGTGAGTTGAAAACACACTCTATCACTGAGCCAAATCCCACCCTACATTTGCTAAATAAGTTTTATTAGAGCACAATCATGCCTACTCAAGTATTTTCTATTACTACTTTTGCAATTCAAAGATAACACTAAAAAGTTGGAACAGAAATGCTATGACCATTAGTGTCAGCACATCTGCTATACATCTGATGGTATAAATGTGTAAATTAAAACAATTCAGTATACATCTCTTGCCCTAACAGAAATATTCATTTGGAATCAGTATTCCAACAGATGGAAGCATGCCAGGGGACTTTCTACCCTTTCTGAATAAGGAATAGAAATCTAGAGAGTTCTGCAATCTGTGCCTGTAGGAATGAATGGTATCCTGGGCCTGACTCCTTCAAAGGCTTTCCTGTCTCCTGATCCTAATGTCTCCTGGGGACTTCATCTAGTCAGCCAAATCCTGGTGCTAGAATACTGTGATTAATAAAACTTCCATAAAAGGATAGCACAGAGGCGAGAATCTCCAGTTTCCTCTGGATCTGATTGGTTTAAGTCAGTTCCCAGAAGCTTGCTGAGAAGTCAATCATATATGTCTCTATCCTCACCGGGAAGCTCCAAACATGAGCCCATCTTGTACCATGATCATGCACAACCCCACTCCTCCCATTCCATGAACAGAAGTAGAAATCCTGAAGGACAGGAGTGTGGTATGAAGTTGGGAGGTTGACACTTGGACACGGGTAAACTTTGAGAGGGTACAAGGTGGATGCACATTAATGAATGAGGGACAGCTGTAGCCTGGTATTAGAGAATCTGCAAAGCATAACAGGAGTGTAAACTTAACAAAATATTAATCTGTTCCAGGGCACATGCTTACAATTGATGGTAATAGTTTAAAAATATATTATTTGCAACACACAATAAATTATTATCAAATATGGAAAAAATTAATCCCATCTTCATGCTATAAGTTCCAGGGCTATTTCAGAACTGGAAACTACCATCAAGGTAGTAATGCTTGGAACCAAGGACCTAAAATTATACATACCTCAGGTGATTCTGAGCAGGCAAGGCAGGGACAAAGTCTTTGATATCAAACAAACTACACCATTTAAGTTCAAAGAGAAAGCCAATAGCTACTTACTAACCTACAGATGCTTATCAACTCATAGTTACTTACCAACTCACAGCTACTTCCTGACCTGCAGCTACTTACCAACTCACAACTACCCACCAACTCACATTTACTTACCAACTCAGAAATTTCTCTTGAGGGCTTTGGAGTGGATGTGCCAAGATTTTCACCTGACATCCCAAATCCAAGTTGAAGGGATGATGATCCAAAAACTTGAATGAGATAGGAATCAAAATCCTCACAAATTTTTTTAGACAATTTTTGCTTCAGAGTATCTTTTTAAACAGAAGCAGAAAGGGGGATTAGTGAAAGCCGTGGAACGTTACTCAATCCTACTTAAAGATATCAGCAATGTCCTTAAGTAAGACACTTCCCATCATTTGAAATCAACTGCTAAGTTAACTACACTAGGAAATATTTTCATATTATCTGTAAAATATTATGTCAAATCTCTGTATTTGTAAAACACAGTAACACGGAAGGCGTAAGTATCACCAATGCCCATTTTTCCAAAATGCCAGTTCACTGAGTTATTCTGTGGACAAGGCTAGCCTCCTAATACTATGTAAAATGGGCAATTGCATCTGGTTTAGGGCTAACAAAAGGCCAATTAGTTCAAATATGTTCTTTATTACTGTATCAAGTTACAATCTCTCTCAGATAATATGATTGAGCCTTAATTCAATTAGTCAAATATAACCATTTTCTCAAATGTGTGATACTTCTGGTCATTATAACATATGAACAGCCCAGTGAAAATGAATATATCGAATGAACCTACCACTACTAAGTAACAGTAAATATAAAACGATTCTTAGTATAATACCCATCAGGCTAGAATAGTGACATATTTCCAAAGGTTATTCTTTAAGGTAAATTGCTAGCATAAAGTGAGCAACTAGACCATGACCTCTAATCCCTATGGCTTGCACTTCTCATCTCTTTAGACTTCCATAACTTTATCATCAAGTTTTTAAATTTCTTTTCAATTCCAGTTTTGTTTCTTCTGCTTTACTTTTGGCTTGCTCATTCCTTATTCTAATTAGGAAGCTTTTGAACAGTAAACAGTAGTCACAATATCAAAGGTCCCATTCTTTCCCTTCATCCTTTATACTGCCATGGAAACTCCAGCTGAACTCCACTTCCATCTGAACACTCACTTTACGTGAATAAATACAGGATTGTGCCCTCTGCACTCAGTGTCACAACACTTAGTCTTTAATGTTCTATAGTTTATAGATTACAACATAGTGTTGACATAATCCTCTTTAACTCCCTGATTTCTGCCTTTTGTCAGGATAACCTAGACTTGTGACACTGCAAACAACAACCTAAATTCCTTTCCTCTGGGGCAGACATCCTTACCTTGCAGAGTAAAGAAGTCATCAAACTGATAAACATGTTCTGGGTCAGTGGCGATGAGATTCATTTCTTGGTGAAAAATTTCAAAGTTTGGATCATCTTTCTTCACCACCCCAATCACAAATATTTCCACATTGGAGTCATCGGCATCCTTCACCACATCTGCCAGTTTCTTTTTATCTCGGGAATCTGTCTGTCCATCAGTGATGACCAAGGCCACCTTCTTTACACCTGGCCTTGCCTCCTTGAACATGTCATTGGCTGCTTGAAGAGCAGTGGCTGTGTAGGTGCCTTCCCCCAGATACTGCATGTTGTCCACCACCAGCTTGAAGTCATCCTTGCTGGAGAACTGTTTCAGACTAGCCACCTTCTCCACCTTGTGGCTATAGTTGATTATGCCTATCCGGGCTGTGGCAAGGTCCAGGGATACCCGGTCAGCCAGAGTCTTCACAAAATTTTGGATGATCTGAAAGTTCTCTGGACCTACACTTTCTGAACTGTCAATTACAAATACCAACTCCAGTGGAGTCTCTTTGCATTTGGGCCCGCAACCTAAAAGATGAATATAGAAATTACAAATGTTTCAAAAATGGAAAACAAACCTTCAAAGATGAATATCACTATAGTGGCAAGATTGGTAGAAATAAACTAAAGACTTCAGCTGTGGTCTTCATTTCCTGTTATACTGGGAAGGGAACAGCTTATAACTCTTTCCTCTTTGGATTATGCACTTTAAAAAATTATACATGGGGGGACTATATGTAGAAATTTCCTCCAAATTGAAATATTCTAACCTGGACACAAGTTCCTTAAGATGAAGGACGTTCTAAAAGAAGGAAATCAACAACTCACAAGTCTTAGAAAGTCTCTGAAACTTAGCAGATTTTATACTGAAGAATAAAGGCCTGTTGAAGAGAAGCAACTCTCTAGTCTTTTTAAGTTGGCTACCAATCACACTGAGAGTTCTAGAATTGAGATTCTAATTTATTTAAAGCAGGCACCCATGCTACGGTTGTTTTCTGGTAATGCTGGTGTCTTTGAGTCACTTATATTCTTGTAAATAACCCCTCCAGTATGCTTCTATGAGTTACCCAATAAACTCATTGGCTCACTAAGTTGGACTTTGGTAATATTATTACTTTGATCTGTCACCAGTTCCCTATCTGAGGTGAACAAACATTTGTTTATATATCCCCACTAATGGTATCACAAATAAAAAAGTAGAACTACAGTGTAGCAGACACTAAACACCTATATTTCTATTTCTTATATTGAAATGTAAAAACCTTTTAAAATTTGGCATGTTCTGTGTAAGCCTCCTTGGTTCCATTCCTCTCCCAGCAATGACAACTGTCCTGAATTTGTTATCCTAATTCTACAGTTTGTATTTAAGCTACAGCCCAGAGCTGCTATTTTAACCTTCAACCATATCTTTAAGTAAAACTGGAGATGCCAGATGGATAAAGTGGCAGGATGAAAATGTTTAATTAGGGGGTAAATTAGGGCCCTGGAGTCTACACAGAGCAGCTGCTCTAGGCAGGGACACCTCACCCACTGTGAGGATTATTATGGCTCCCATGCTATCAGGGAGGTCAGCAGTCCATCTGCACCATGAACTCTTTGACAAGAAGGAGTCCAGAAAATACTGGTCAATAAGCAACCATTCAGAGCCAGGGTCCCCAAAAATCTAGTCCAGAAGCCATGTCTTAACTGTCCTATTACCAGCCAACTCAGGCTAGTTCTCCAGAGACAAAGACATGCTGGAATTTAGTGCTATTGTTGCCTCTGTCTGCTTTAAACACAGAAGTCCGCCATTACTCCACTCATCTTCTCCTTCAGCTAAACTTTTTCATTATTCCCTCTTTCTGGTAACCCCGAGTCTAAAGTGTTCAGCCATGGAGGTATTTAGATTTCCTTGAAAAACAAGGTGAACCCCTGAATGTCTTCCTGCCAGAGAGATAGAACACGGTTGCAGAAAATCACACTGAAATTCACTTTGGGAAGACATCCCAGCTGAGGGAAAAGCTTGTGACCGTCATTAGCTGGTCACTGGGTGCCCACTGGGCCTTTGCAACCAATTTTCCATTGTGTCTGTTTTCTTCCCAGGCTCAGGTATGTCACTGACTATGGATGAGCACAGTACTTCTCTTTTTTTTTTTTTTTTTTTTAAACAATCTGTTTTTACTTTTCATAGCAATCCCAGTTTCTTCTTCCCTCCTCCCAGTCCCACAACCTTTCACTCACCCCACCCTACTACCCTTACCCTGGAGCCGCCTACTCTCCAGAGAGCTTTAAGGAAACAAGAAAACAATTGCTTCCCAGAGTTCCTACAGCCTCCCCTTTTCCTCTCCTTTTTCCACTGACTTCTCAGATGAGCCTGCCATTTCCCCACCAGCCATGTGCACGTGTCTCCTGAACGTTAGCTCTGCAATACAGCACACAATAGGGTTGATGCTGTACAGGACGGCTCATTTTTCTTGGTAATTAAATCTTACCACATATTTCAATAATAAGTTTGATAATTTCTTCTTTCTGGGGAGAAAGGAAAAATGCATTAACATTAAGATTATGGCTGTAGTATGTTTCCTATAATCCTGAGAGATGTGTCTTACAATTGTCATTGGATCATTTGATTCACTCCTTCACTGGAGAAAATTAAACAAATAGCACAAAAGTTGGAAGTTGGGTATGATCAGGCTGAATAGTAAAACTTCATAGTTCAGAATTTTAGATCTTAAATCAAAACTCCAGTACATGTCAGCTGTGGGACCCAGGCTGTCTGACGACATAAGAGTGGGACCCAGGCTCTCAGATGACATGAGAAGAGAGGGACCTGGGCTATCAGACAGCATGAGAGTGGGACTGGGGATGTCAGACAATGTAAGAGTTTCTGGGTCTTGGGCTGATGATGCAGATTATATTAATGAATGTGTAAGGGCTGTGCCCACCTAGTCCTGCTGCCACTGTCACGGTGCCAATCGGCAAATGACTTAGACCATGTGCTGAGGCCTACAGGTACCCATTGTTGATCCTCTTTCTGTTCTAATTCTCATTTCTTAAGTCCCCTCCTCCATTTCCTGCTGTTCTTCTTGATGCCTTATGAAATGACCTCATATTTCTAAAAGCCTCTTCCTGCCCTGTTGTCTGCCTGCTCCATTGACAAGCACAGAAGTTGTCTGTCTGCTCTGATGACAGGCTCCCAAGTCAGTCTGCCAGTGCTGTGTGTTGCTTGTTTACAAGTGACTGGATGGGACAACAGAGGCCAGAGTCTGTGTGTGTTAGAGACATGGAGCTGAAAGTGATGGTTAGCAGGACTCTAGATCTCAACAGGAAACAGAGTCAATGTAAGAAGATAAAACTAACGGACACACAAAGTGAAATTTTAAAGAACAAACCCATAAGGACAGAATTGGGGTAAAGACATATGTAACTGGTGATACAACTTAACTTAAATCAACAACAGCATCATGGGAACTTTTGAGGTTATTTTTATCTAACAATAGTTTTATGACAAACAGAAAAAAATGATTCCTCTCAATATGATGCTGGGTAGCACTAATCAAAGAGGAAAGAATCAACAGCAGTATCTATTGTGGGATATTTGTCCACTGGGTGAAGGTGTATTGCTGTGATTGATGTAGTAGAAAACTAAATGGACGATAGCTAGAAAGAGGTTCAGTGGGACTTCTGCAGACAGAGAGGGCTCTGGAAGAAGAGTCGAGTCTCTAGCCATACAGAGAAGAAACTGGAGGTGCAAGATGGAAGAGAAGTAATGTCATGTGATAGGACAAAGATGAATACAAACAGGTTGTTATAAGAGCTAGTTAGGAAGAAGCCTAAGCTATAGGACAAGCTCTCATAATTAATAAGTCTCTGTGTCATTATTTTTGAGCTGGCAGCCCAAAGAAATCTACTACAAGTCTCTCCTCTTCAGGCATTGCCATACTTCTCCACATTCAGAGAAATAGTTGATAAATCTGAAACTAGAGTGCATGCTGAAAGGGGAAGGGTATGTATTTATGTAAATATATGTAGAATGGAAAAATATAAATATTTCATCTGGTTTATTTGAAGCAAGGCCTTATAATATAGCCCAATTACAATTTGTAATCCTCCTGCCTTGGCTTCTAGGTATTGAGATTTTCAGCATACACCACCACATACAGTTTTCCATTTAATTTTTTGTATGTGAGAAAAATATCAACACCAAATTTTATGGTTGTATTTTTTCACTTAACATTCTATCATAATTTGTTTTCATATTATTATTTGTCCCAAAAAGTTTGATCAAAGGCATGGTCATCTTTAAGGTTCTTTGATGAACAGTAAAATGCTCAAAGCTATGTTTTAGAGAAGTGAGAACTAATGCCTCCAACAGTGGTACAGAAGGAAATCCATTTTATTTCAGATACAGTACTGGTTATTATTACTACCTAGTCATACTTTAAATGGTGAAAAAAATAGGTTGACAAGTAACTAAGAAAAGAGGATGGGAAAGAGAGAGTTTAAGAGGAAGCAGATGACCATGGGCTTGCTCTGAGCTAGGGAGGCAAGAACAGAGGTAGGTAGGGTGTGGATGACTGAACCCAGTGAGTTTGGTGCATCTCTGAGACATCCACCTGAAGATGCTCAGATTGCTGTAGGATATAAGCTCTGATGCTCCAAGGAGTGGTCCAAACTGTAGGCAGACTCAAGAAATGCTATGGTATGTGTAACTACTTAAATAGGGACCACAAGTCATTTTGCTCAAAGCAAGGATGTTCAACCTTTTGATTTTTCTAAATTTATTTATCATTACTACTCTTTTGTTTGTGTGTATATGAAAGAGAGAGATAGAGACAGAGAGACACAGAGACAGTGGGTAGGGAGAGGGAATGATCGGCCCCTGCTACATGTGAAGTCTTGTGTGAGTTGCAGGAGTCAAATTCAGGCTCCTCTTTTCATAGTGCATATCCTTAAGTCTGACCACAGTAAATACCCAAGGAATGTTGGTGAAAAGGATATCCAAATGCCAGGATGAAGGAAAACAGTTCTGCACAGGCCCCATGTTGGACCAAGGCACATCTCAAGTTGTGGCAAAAGCCCCTCCCATTGATGTATAACCTCTGTCTTTGCTACTGTCAGCAGGTAACTGCTGCACACATGGGTTCTCTCTCACGGTAGACATCATTGGGGATCTAATGAGTGGTAGGGGACGACAGGAGGAAGCTGACAGACTCCCTTCCCTTCCAGATTGTCCTGCCACTCTACATGGGAACCACATCCCCAGCTGGTAACTGAAGGAAAAAGACAAAGGAAGAAGAACTAAAGGTCTCCTCTTCTAATGTCCAAGAGATGATGTGCTCTCTAACCAGAAAGGAAGAGTTTGAATTTGCTATGAAAATTCTATAACCTTCTAGCACATTCAAATGTAAAGAATCCTCTTTTTTGTTGTTGTTTTCAATACCGAGTGAGAAAGAGTAGAAAAGGTTTGTAGATATTTAACAAGTTTTTAAATGTGGCCATACATATAATCCCAGCTTTGAGATGTCTAGCCTCACAGCACTTCCTTAAGGAAATTGCTCAAGAGAAAAAGAGACCCTAGCCTGAAGTGAGAAAAGCCCCATGAAATAAAAGCTCAGTTGGCCTCTGGATTTCTTCTAAGCACATAGTTCCCTTACTGCCAATAACAACAACCTGATCATTTCTACCAGAGGCCAGAGAGAGCATCCCTATTTGTTCACATGCAGCTGTGCACGGCTTCCTAGTGTGATTTCTCCTCTCATCCAGATGAAATTACCTCCTGCACCCACATCAACACTGACCCAGTGGCAGACACCATCATCTAAACAGAACAAACCAACATCCAAAACATTCATAATTCTAAGGTACAACATGAATAATTCAGCAAGCATGGACCCCTCAGTTACCCTCTAGGATTGACACTCACCGTAAGTCCCAGGTCTCCTTTTGGTCCTTGTAAACCCTACTTGGCAGAAAAAAGGAGTAACATTCAGGATAGGCTAGACCCAGCTGAGAGCTATAAAGCCACAGCAAGGCTTGAAAAACCACATCTTGCCTGTTTTCCTGGAGATCCAGACTCCCCAATTTCGCCTTTTTCACCCTTTTTTCCCATATCACCCCGTTCTCCATGGTCTCCCTGTATGACATGGTTAAAAGATAAACTTAAATCATGAATATTAAAGCCAAATAAGAAAAAACAAAAAGCCCCCCAATTGTATTTGTTGCAACTAAAATCCCCTTAAAGACCTGGCGTTCTTATTGACAAAAATACACATGGGGAAAGAAGTCATTTGCACTTAAGAGGTGTTGAGACATCTTCTGATCAGCTCGTTGCCTTCGGGAAACTCAACTGTTGTATAATTTACCAGGTTTCCGAGGTTTCTGTGTCTCCGACATATGTCTCATAAGGATTTACTCTTTTATTGGCTGCCTTTGAATAATGAGGGAAAATACATTGGATTTGGTTCTATCACAGGTGGCTCTTTTAGCTGTGTGAAGAGGGGCAGGAAACACGAGATCTCTGTCAAAATCAAGGCTAAGCATTTGAGACCGTGTGTCTAAGTATTTCCATAAGATTCTAATTCAGTTACCTTCTGACCAGGGAGGCCATGACCCACTGCACCCTTTGACCCTGGAAGACCTTGAGGTCCTTGCTCCCCCTATGTGAGATATAAGAAAGAGGTGTTATTAATTCCCCAGAATAACTCAGAATATTTAGGGAGTTAGAAACTCATTTGCAGTTTCCAAACTGCACTACGGTCTTACCTAATTTTGAGGAATGTCATAAAAATACAAATATAGGTACAGATATACATATAAAGATAGGCTTCTTGATTTGCTAGCATTTGTGTGGTATAGACACCCCTGTCTTGACCTAAAGCATTGAGCACACATACTTGTTCACAAATAGCTAATGTTTCAGTTTATCTTTGTATTTTCCTATATTTATTGATATATGCTAAAAGCACATATTAATAATGGGGAAAATAAAACATCTTCCTCCAATCAAAGATAAGGAGCTATTTATATAATTGACGATAACATATTAGCTGCATCTTTGATCATTTATAGCAACAGGCAGGACTTGTCTTCGGTTCTCCTCCACACATCTTAATTCCCTCTCTTGCCCAAAACACACAAGGGCAAAAGCAACATCATGGTATAGAATATGAAACAGAAATAATCACTAATAAATCACAAAGTCACAGTAACTATGCTGCTAAGAAATCTACCTTACATCCTTACCTAGGTGTGAATCAGTTGGCCATTTGTCTGTGGCAAAGTACCAAAGATCCTGGACTAGCGGGGCCATCTTTGTTCCCTTTTGTCACATTCTCAGTAGTACCCGAACCAACCCCAGGAGAATGTCAATACATAAAAAAATAATAAAATAAAATAAAAATTCTAACCCTAGTCCCCACCTCACACCAGTTTAAAAAGACTAGTGTGAAGGGGTGAAGGGAGAGATAGATGTCTGTTTTGCCCTGAGTCAATCTCATGTGACGGGGCTCTAAGAGTTCCTATGCATCTGAATAGACTGCAAATGTAGAACTATGGGCTCCTAAATTCAAGATACAAAGCAAGTTCCTACAAAGCAAGTGGCCAAATTTAAGGACCTATTCCCTGAATGTCTTTTCATCTTGGTGTCCTCAAGCCAAGTCTATTAGATTTGTGAGGCCAGCAGGAAGGAATGGCTGTGTGGCATTGCAAACTCTGGACATGCCCAAGATGACTCGCCCTTGAGAAGCTGTTGTCCTCTTTGAGCTTAGTAGAAGTTATTGACATGGTTTGCTCAGTTTACAATCAAGAGGGAGTCTCTTATCACACTTGGAAATCTGGAAACAGAACTCTGCATGGAAACTGGTGCCAGCTAAATAAAGTATGTGCCATCTAAAGAGTAAGCAGGAATGTAAGGACAACAGACCAACCTCACGCTTACCAGGAAATAGGCTCCAGTGGGTGTGAATGCCAGCCTCATCTTCAGTATACAAGTGTGTGTCTACCTGTGGACCAGGTGGTCAACCTACAGAGAAGTATGAAGGACCCCAAAAACAACTGCCTGAAGTTCTACTATCCTTGGTTTTAATTGGAAAGAGAACAATCCACATGTAACATGTATAGTCTTAAGACTCAGGGAAGGGCACGTGTAGGTTAGCTTCCTCTGATTGTTTGTAGAATTCAATGAGGGGCATCTTCATCCAATGAAATACTTGGTAAAAAAGGAAGCTTTGGATTGAGGCGATGCCCTAGACCATGGGTATCTGTGCTGAGGGGTCCAGACAGACTACTGGTTAGGTACAATGGAGACAAAAGGTTCACAGAAGAATATTCAAAAGGAATCCAGTGGTTGACTTTGTCCCTATCCCAAAGCAGGACAGATAGTGAAAAGTAATATTATACTATTATGTAGTGGGGAATCATCACTGGGAAGTCATTACTTACACAGAGGGTCTGGGAGGAGTTCCATACCTTTCTAACAATTATACAGAATGATTGTTTCTTGGGCAATATTCCAAATCTCTACAGCAGATATTATAAAGGATGTCCAATAAAGGTTTATGAGTAACTGCCTTTAAGAACTGAGGCAATTTCCCAAATAAGTGAGAAGCCATATCCTGAGGGCAAATCGCTGAGAAGGCAGCTATCACAGGGGTAACTGAATGTCCAGGAGCCTACCCTGAAGTGTTTCCTATATAAACATTTTATATATAGTTGTTTTAAGTATAATTTATTTTTAGTCATAAACCTTTATTGGATGTCTTTTGTAATATCTGCTGTAGAGACCTGAAATGTTGCCTGAGAAACAATCGTTCTGCATAATTGTTAGTAAGGTATGGAACTCCTCCCAGATCTTCTGTCTAAGTGAAGCCACAACTCTTTTGCACTTTGTCATGGGCCCGTAGTTACAGGACAACTAGTCTGCTCAGTGTCTTAGAAACACTGGACCGTTAGGAAGAGCCAGGACTCAGCACACCCTTCCCTGATGGAAATACCAGATGTTACGTGTAATCTGGCAAGAAGGACTCAGATAAAATTCTGGACCTATTCCTAAGAGTCAGCATGGCTGCTATGAGATGCTGGGATGCTGGGGCTACAGGCAGAAGAGGAGATCACACCTATCCCCAGGCTGCTCTTTTGGTAACCACCAGAGCTCAGAAGAAAGACATGCAAGCAGGAAGGCTGGGCACCCGGAGAAAGGTCCCTGTGGTATAGGCCTCGGAGGAAAGCCAGCATTTAAGCTGCACTATTGCTTTGGGCCGGGAATGCATGGTCAGCCTAGGCCGGCAGGACCCTCTTGCACATAGAACTGCTATGAATTTTATTTCATACAAATAGTTTTCCATAAAATAATGAAAACAGAAGTCCTTTAAAATATGGAAAGAATCCAGTCAGAGAGCTGCTTCAGTGGTTAAGAGCACTGCCTTCTCTTGCAGAGGGCCTGGGTATGATTCCCAGTACCTACATGGTGGCTCAAAACTATCTGTAACTCCCACTCCAAGGATCCATTGCCCTCTCCTCTGCAGGTAGCAGGCACACACATGGTATGCATGCAGCAAAACACCCGTAAAAATAATTTTTTAATTAAGAAATGGAAAACTTGACAAAATTTTAATTATGTGTATAGGTTAAACTGGATGATATCATTGACAATTTTCAGATATCTACCATTGTGCTGTACTGCATAAGAGAATGTGCTTGTTTGTAACAAAAAAATACTGATGTAGTTAAGAGAAAAAGTAAAAATACCATATCTTCAATATACTATCAAATATTTCATTAAAAAACATGTACACATACTTTGGTTTTTCAAATTTGGTGATATTAACATTTAGCAGCTCTAGGCAAAGAGCCTATAGGAACTCTTTATGCTATAATTGCAACTTGCTTAAATGTGTAATTATTTCAAAATAAGAATTAGAGATCAATGTCTGAAACAAATGAATGAGAAAATAAACCAATACACGAAGTTGCCATCAGTCATTGGAGCAGCTAAGTACACAGGCTATTGGGAGTCTGAGAACTCACATGTTAAATAAGCCCCATAAGACTACAACCGAGTCCAGCATGTGCATTTCATGTGTGGTGTGTATTGTGTGTGTGTGTCTGTGTGTGTGTGTGTGTGTCTGTGTAGATAAATGTACATGTGAGTACACATGCCTGTGGAAGCCAGAGTATGCATTGTATTATTATTATCATTATTATTATTATTGGCCAAGGCTCTCTTTGGCCTGGTGTTAGACAATTAGGCCAGGCCAAATTGTCTCTAGCTGACTAGAGAGTCTCAGGGAACCTCCTGTCCCTGCCTCTCAGCACTGGGAAACAAAGGCAGGACATCATGCTCACAGGCAAGCATTTTGTCCACTGGCCCATCTCCCCAGCCTGCAATATGAACTTCTTGAGGTCATTTCTGCCCTTTGAAGGCAGGAGGCTTTGACCATCACTGGCAGCCTTTATAGTTCCCCGGATTTACATTCATGTAGCCTCCAGTTCAACACTAGAAACAAGAATCACATTGTCCCAGGTGAACACAACCGGCTTCTCCTCCCAGTGTGGTTATATACCACCAGATTAGGACCTTCCACCTCAGCAAAATGTAAATGTTGACAGAAGTGTGACACCAGGTTACCTTTCAGCAAAGGGACTTTCTGGCTAACATTGCACCTTCCTGCTGGAGCTCATGCCACCCAAGTTTTCTCCATTATCTCATAAGTAACAGCAATGTTAATCATTTACAGAACAGAGATTTTTATTTCTAAGAAGAGATATGAGTTTCATATTTAGAAACGGTAACTAAGAAGCCCATTATTAAAGGGAAAATGTATCAAGATGTTCTAGAAATTTTGGCTCAGGCCTGCTGCCTCACTGCAGATTGAAAGGTAAGAGCAAAAAAAACCTGAACGCAGACTCTGTTCAGTGAAAACGTGAACCATCTTGGTTTTATTTTTATCTTTGCTCCCTTGTCATTTTCCTGTTGAGCTGTTCTCCTCCTAGGCATTTTCTATCACTTACTAAAAGAGAGAGGGCTAAAATCAATAAGGCAAGCCAGAGCCAGAGATTCCAGTTCAAACAAAATCTCCTCTGACAAGAGGGTAGCCTTGTCAGAGACCCGCAGAGACAAAGAAGCTTCTGGCTAGCTTTCAGCTGTGGGTCAGCAGGGACTTTCAAGGCTGAGAGACTGGCTGGACAGGATTAGGGAATGGGAAGGGATTTAGCTTTGTGAGGTTTTCTGGTTTTTGTTTTTGGGTTTTTTTTTTTTTTCTATGCAGTTGTGCAACGACATGAAAAAGTGTAAATGTCATTGCTTTGTAATGGACCTACAGTATCCCAGGACTTTTTTTTAAAGTATCATGTTTCCCTCTGTTTCTGTTCTATGCTACCTCTTCCCTTTCTGATTACACATTACTAATAAGAACTTTGGCGGGGGGAGGTGCTTGTAAATTTTGAAAGCAGAGAAAGAAAACTCTCTGCCAACTGGAAAAAAGAAGGCAGTGATGTACCAGGATGCTGACTTAGAGGATGAATGGTACAGTTGGTCAGATCAATGACCAGCCTGAATAGTCCTCCAGTGTTCTGCCTGTGAGCCAGAAACCACTTTGTACTGCTTTGTGGGGACAGCTAGTTCACATGAGAAGGAAAATTTCCATTTGTATTGGCCTCT